GAGAGAGAGAGAGCTGGGGGCTCGGGGCTGTAACTGCATGTCAATATATTGCCAGGTATCTGGCCATAGACCGATTCCGTTCCCCGTGCGCTGACCTGCCGGTAAGCCGTCTGGGCGGCGCTGCTGGCCTCCTCGGCGGCCGTGCGGGCAGCGGCGAGCGCGTCCACTATGTCCTGGTACGCCTGAGCCGCGTTCAGAGACAGGTTCGCCCCCTGACGGGTCGCCTGAAACAGCCTGACAGGATGGAGACGTCAGAAGAGGTCACTGCACTGAGGACAGGCTGACAGAGTAAGGCAACGTAAGGAAGCTGGAAGCCTCTAGATGTAGCGGCTGACGAAGAAGGGCAAAAGGATCGTTAGGATACAGAAAAGCCTCCCGGCATGTTAGCTATGGCTAATGAGTAGTACACATCTTTCAACTATTTGGTCCGAAGCTTTTGAGAGCATGCATATCAGAGATCGTCACCTACGCCAGGCAGTGCCTGCTGCGTGAGCCCTAACTCCACCATCCGATCGTGAATTCCATGTCAACCGCCAAGTTTTGCGGCGAAAGTTCAGCGTGGCTCAGCAGCTCGGCATCATTTGCCTTGCCTGATGACGTCACCAGACTTTTAGTGCGGCCACTTCCACTGGACACAAAGCAGCCCAGTTAGAGGCAAATAGCAGGCTCCCAAAACAACTCGAACCCACCTAGCCATGGCTCAGAGAATCTGAAGGCAGGCGCCCGATCCGAGTGAGCTATAGGAACGAGTTAACTTTAACGACGAACGGACTACACGCGTCAGCAGAGGGCGGCTTCCTGCTTCCACTGGATCGGATATCCCCATTTCATTTTCGTTTCTCAGCTCTCTTCTCCTTCCCTTCCCCACGGAAAGCTGCGTGGGTCGGTCACACCCGTCACAACCATCACACCCGTCAAATCGTCATCATCCTTCACACCCGTCACACCCTTCACATCTGTCACACCCATCATCCGTATGTGATGTCATCGTCCCCCGCATAGGCTCCGGGGCTCCGCCTCACCCGACCAGTCGCTCGGCCTCAGTCGTGAGTCGGTCAGCGTGAACTTCGGCAGGGATGACGTAGCGGACGCGGAAGTCGTCGGTCAGGTTGGCCAGCGTCGTCAGCCGCTTCTGCAGACTCGCGTTGGCCAGCGACAGTTCCAGCTGGATGTCGCTGAGATCCTGCCAGCGGCCGACAGGAATGTCACGACATCGCCACCTCGAAGCTCGCGACAGTCTCACAAGACCGGTCCCAGAGTACAAGTACGGAGACGTTCATTATTTGTACCATTTGTGTCTGGAATTTTTGCGAGTATCTCAACTGTGCTCTTAATGCCAGACATGCATTGCGAATGTTCGTGCCTTATGATGATATATTGTTACGGCAAGCCCTTGCGGAAAAGTCGGTGGGAACCCCGATGCAGATGCCACGGTTCTCACTCGGAATCATTAATGGCGCCGTTCACCGGTTGCCATACGTTAAGCATTTGTGATCCGCTGAACTCCAAATTTTCGTCCTGTGTCACAGCGAGTCGGAGGAGAGTGAGCAAATTGTGGGCATTCTGCTTGCGCCAATGCTGGTGACACACAATTGGAAAAACGGCGGAGGCGAACTTACGATGCCGTGCCCCTGGGCCTGGTCGTAAAGACGATAGAGCCGCGTTTGCAGCTCTGTCGTGTTGGCCAGCACGCCTTCACACTGCTCTGCCTCGCTCTGAACCTGCTGTCTGCCCGCCGAGAGCGAATCCAGGCCGTCCATCAGCTCTTCCAGCAACACATTAGCCTGCAAAGTCGCCAGGGATTCCAGTCCCCGGAAACGGCGGAATAGGCGCGGTCGGCACCCATAACTTTTAACAGCCAGTGCTGGTTGAAATCAAGAGTTATTTTTTTCAGAAACAAACCTGAAAAGAAATATAATTCAGTTCCAAAGTTGTTTGCTGATCGTCTTTCGCAGCCGGGGCGTTGTAATTTGTTTACCCCCCCCCCCCCTTCCTTCCGCCGCGCGTACCTTCCGGACGGGACGGCGTACTTGCTCCTCCATCAGCTGCTGCATGTCAAGTAGGCGGCGCCGCATCTCCTCCAGCCGCGAGGAGACCACCTGATGCGCCGTCCTATTCACGCCGAATCCGCCAACACGCTCCAGTAGGCGGCGGGCCGCAGCTAGCTCCGCTTCCGCCCTCTCTTGGGCCTCGCTGAAGTTGCGCTTCTGCATCAGCTCTAAGATGGCGCGCACGTCCGCCAGTGCCTGCTCCACCGACACTGCCGGCGTCTCGCCACGGGCGTACCTCAGCAGTTCCGCAACGATATCTGAAGTGGAGAACAGCACGGGGCGATAGCCGGCAACACTGTGAGCAGCGGCAACATTCCTTCACCTCGGCACATGACCGGGCAATGCTGCCACTGCCCCTAGGAAGTAACATATAAACCGATGGGGCTTGTTCTCTTTGACCTTTGCGCCCCCGTTGTAATTACCGAAGACTAAAGTCACTACAGTGTGATTTTTTGTGAGCCAATGTCTGTAGCAAAGAAGTTGTGGACCCCTTGCTTTGACAGAACTGCCAGGAGCACATAGGACCGCTGCAGACGGTGCCGATGGCTATCGCCTTGCTGCAGTAACGTAAGCTCTGGGCTAGACAAGCCAGGTAAACCGCGACAGCATTATCTGTCCGTTTCATAACATACCTTCTGCCTCTTTCCTGGACGCCTCAACAGACTCATTGATGGCCTTTATCTGGTCTCGGAGATCACGGGTGTTGTTGGTTAAGGCGGGGAACGTAGACATTAAATCCTTCGTCTGGGAAAACAGACGTTTTTATCTTATTCAACCGCTCGGCCACATCAGTTAGTCGGCAGACAGTAGAGGTTATTCTGTGTAAGCTCAACAAGCTGGCAGGTGCATGATACATCAAGAGAATGTATGCGCAGACTAATTACAAGTACGCAGGTCACATTTTCCCATGTGCACGTTGTCAAAACCATGCCTTAAAAGTCACGAGGATTCATTTGTTTTCGTGTCATTTCATTTCAACAAAATGCCAACATAATTAGCTCTGCCCAAAACTTACCGCGAGCCTCACCAATCCCGATGGTGGTTACGCTCATTCATATGCACACACGTCTCGAGCCAACGACCAAGAATGCCAACATACTTTTCGTCACACGCCAGAGAATCTCAGACTCAGCAGCTCTCTGATGCACTGCCGCCAGTTACCCTGATCAGGATGGTGTTGGCGAAGTTTGTGAGATCGAGCGAGTCGTACAGCGCCTTCAGCGTCAGCTGCGTCTGGATGTAATCAGAGAAGTCGTCTTCGTATTGCTCCGTCGTGTTGCTGAGCTGGAACAGGCGCCGCCAGGGGGCGCCTACGGTCCGCGTTACGTTGACGGTCGTCACCTCTTCCGTCAACTCGTCCACCTCCTCGAACAGCAGCTGCACACAGGTGTCGCTGCACTCTGTCCACATAGCAGTGTCCACGTCAGTTCCACATCAATGAGCAGCTTCATACGGCTGTTATGGTGCCTTGCCAGTGTCCACACAGGAATGTTCGTGTCATTCCCTGTCCCCAAGGTAGGCGCACAACGCGCACAGCACAACGCGCGAGGTAAGCACGCACAATGCATGCCTCATGCCCGGCTTATCATACGGTTTGTATTTAGCATCGTTGTTCCAGCCCCGCTAGAATTCAGCCCCTTTTCAATTTAAGGCAAAAGCTAGACATCAGCTTTCCCGATGCTGTGAAGCAGGGGCAGTGGTCTCACCCTGGCAGCCGTTGTCGGTGAGCGCGTGCCGAGCCGGGCAGCCGGAGCAGGTGCGGCCCAGCAGGCCGGCCCGGCACAGGCACTGACCGGAGACCGGGTCACAGCGCTGGCTGACGCTGCCCGTCCGGTCACAGCCGCAGGGCACGCAGCCGGCAGCGGGGTCGCGCGCGTCGCCGTAGTAGCCGTACGCACACCTGCAGCACGGCTGGGAGGTCGGCTGGGAGCGGTGATGCTCGGAGCTTGAATTACACGTAGGCCCACGGACGGCGCATCATGCTAGGTAGATACCATCACGAGAGGTGGGATTTCGAATAAGCAAGGATTACGGACTGATCTTCTGTTCATGACGGCTTTGCATCGATGTTGAACGGGAACAAGTCGGCCATGGATCTACCCCAGGCATTTGTAAGGAGGAACGGTGCTCGCACATCACGCGTTCTGTCCGCACATCCGCTTGTAAATAATCTACACTTAATGTGTAGGCATGAATGGTAGTGCGCGCAGTCAGTCTCTCCACTAGAGAAACGCTTGTAAAGAGCGGTACCAGCTGCCACTCTTCGGTATTGACGAACGCAGCTCCCTCGCCGACAACACGAGGTCGTCCGAGGCGCTCACCTGTCGCAGCGTTCGCCGGCGTACCCGGGCTTGCACTGACAGCGGAACGAGCCGTAGTATGCCGAGCAGCCGAAGGCGTGGGAGACCTCCTCGGTGGGGCAGAGGCAGCGGCGACACGCGCCGGCCAGCGGGTCGCCGTAGTAGCCCGGGGCGCACAGGTCGCAGCGGCGGCCGGCGGTGTTTCCGGTGCAGTTCTGAGAACAGCCGTTCGCTGTCACGACTCGGGCTAACGGCTGACCACAGGTGTCTGTGTTACTGGTTCCGCCGGGACTTTTTGTGTGGTCCGCAGGGTTACACGGCGCCGTGACGGTCAGCAAAGCCACTTCAAACCCGGCCGAAAACGGCGAGCGGCCGGTGTCACTGGGAGCGGAGCGTGCGCGATTCGGTCCCATCCCCAAGGCTGCTGCATCCGAGCGCACATCATGCTGCCGCGGTCTCACCAGGCAGATGCCGGTCTCCGGGTCGCAGGTGGTAGCCCGGCCGTTGCACTGACAGGGAACCACCTCGCCCACGAGCTCGATGATGATCTCACTGCTCTGGTACTCGTGCCGCTGGATCCGGTAGAAGCCGATGCTCGGGTCCTGCCGGCAGAGACCCCCCGACCATCAGCCAGCTAGAGAGGTGTGTCGCAGGGTCGCCGGGCAGTTACAGAGCGTGAGCCGCGCTCAAATAACGCCGACGCTTGGACCTAACGGTAGCTGATGTCGCGCTACGAACACCCTGAACCTAACCATAGCTGATGTCGCAGTACGAACACCTTGAAGCTAACGAAAGCTGATGTAATACGAACACTCTGAACCTAACCATAGCTGAGGTTGCAGTGCGAACACCCCGAACCTTACGAAAGCTGACGTCATAGTACGAACACCCTGAACCTAACCATAGCTGATGTCGCACTACGAACCCCCTGAACCTAACCATAGCTGATGTCGCAGTACGAACACCTTGAATCTAACGAAAGCTGATGCCGTAGTACGAACACCTTGAAGTTAACGAAAGCTGATGTCGTAGTACGAACACCCTGAACCTAACCATAGCTGATGTCGCAGCACGAACACCCTGAACCTAACGATAGCTGATGTTGCAGTACGAACACATAACCATACTACTCGAAATAGATTCTCCTCAGCTACAGCACCCACGCGCCAAGAAGGATTTCACCACCCTGCTCCCTCTTCCTCTTCCCGAAATAAGGATTTTGGACGGGTCTAACATCGCCGCGGACGTTAGCATCGCGGGTCGGTTGCACCTGCCCGCACTGGGGTCAGCGGCGGCCTATCTGTGAACGGCACATACCTGGCATGAGGAGCCGTTGTATCGGCCGGGGCAGGCACACCGCTCTATGCCCAGCGCCGGCGCCCCCGGCCGCCCAAAGGTCGGCTCCGCTATGTCCCAGCTGATATCCGATATCCTGCAACAGCGCCGTGTAATCCATTTGGCGATGCGCAGGGACGCGGTCGGCGAAAGCGCATCGCGCCTATCAGGAAGATGTTGGATCTCAGGCTGGAGGGAAAGCGGCCGTGATTTAAGGTCCGGTCGTCAATGGTGGTGTCGGGCGAAGGGTGCACGCGTGAGGAGTGTCCCTTGACGTGCAGAAACTCGAGGGAAATCACGCGGATGTGCAGGGCACTTCACGTGAATTGGTATGAAGGACTGATAGGAGATTAGCGGGTGTGACACAACAACATCGATAAAGGGTAACGTCGCATGCAAGGCTATTAGTTCCGACAGCGAAGTCCTGAACAGTTCAGACTTGTTGCTAAATAGACATGATCATTGGGTGCTGAGGACGGCGCCATACAGCAGAAGGCATCTGAGAGCGATGACTCATCAAAGATGTCCACAAACAGTCCCACGTGCGCTTGGGAGGAAGCGGCGTCGACTGAGTCCCCACCTTAAGCGTACTATCCCCACCGGCAAGACAACTACCGCCAGAGTTCACCGAGTTCTGCCGAGTTCCGCCCTGACCCACTCACTCCGCACGCCGCACGTCCAAGGACTCGGTGGCCCGGATCAGCACGTGCTGCGTGTTCTGCAGCGCCACCATCAACATCTCGCGGGTGACGGGCGTGCGCGCATCCCCCTTCCGCCGCCATTGCGTCTCGTGGAACCTGTCAAAGGGGCGAACACCGGCTGGGGTGACATGGCGGAAGGCGGGTCCACGCTGGAGGGATCAGCAGCCTGAAGGGCGAGCCTTCTCCAGATTAAGGCACATACACCTATCGCCATGATAAGCCCATGCCCGCTAGACATACAGTGGCTCTAGAATCTAATAAAGACATCCAGCAGTCACGCACAGAAGCCTTCATGTGTTCTTTTCAACATGATCCTGAGCAGTTTCCCGGAAGATATTTCGGTGTTACGACACCAGCTCTAGATTCGCCTGACCACGACGGCGTTCTGTAAATCCTCCGCCCTTTGACAAAGATATGAACACAGCAGCGGCGCACCGCCCGTCAGCGTCGGGTCCTGCTCCCTGCCACCAGGTCCTGGGGGAGGCTGGGTCGCACGCGCCGCTCACCTGACCGCGTGCAGGCCGTCGCTGGCCGGCTGGTCCGGGTAGTGCTCGAGCACCAGCCGGTCATTCCCCTGCAGCTGCACCAGCGGGTAGCTGGCCAGGATGGCGTCCGGGAACGGCCGCGAGCCGCCCGTGTTGTGTACCCGGAAGCGCAGCTCACCGTTGTAGGAGCGCACCTGGAGGGGCCGAAGTGACACGGTGACGGCACGGGCCGCCAGGGAACGCAGCGTGTCACCGGATCGGCACGAGTGTCAACAGGCGCCTCCAGTAGCACTCTGAGGCTAACCATAGCTGATGTCGCAGCACGAACATATTTACGAGGAAGGTCGGGAATGTCGCTCTGGGAATGGCGCAGTGGAGTAACGATGTTTGTTCTTGCTCAACATTTGTTGTACGCGTGCTGAGGACGCACTTCGTTTTATTGTGGAATGTCGAGTACAGTGGGCTCCTGTTCGTCGCCTCGAAGCGCTGTGAGTTGGGGCATGATTGACAACACCACAGCGTGGGTGGCACAAGCTTCTTACATAATGCATCGCTTTCACCTGTCCACAAAAGCATCGGCAACGATGGCATTGGTTCAATCGCTATAGAGGCCCCATCCTCTCCCCAAGCACACAAATTTTGCTTTTTAAGGTGAAGAATAATGAGCACGACACTTGCCCTAACATTTCTCCGAAAGCTGTACCCTGCCAGGCACAGGTAGCCAATGGCACGCGATGTTGGCGTAACCCGAGCCCGCAGCACGATACGACGGAGCTAAAAACCGCCTAAGCTGAAGAAAGCATGACAACAACATTTAACGACTGGCCATTTTTGGAGAAGACATGCTCGTTCGCAGGACGGACTTAAGCGCGAGGATTTGGTCGGAATTTACCATCTGAACCGGGTAGTCAGCGCCTTTCTCAAACCAAAAGTAGCCTGCCGCCGTCTCGGTGTCCTGTAGCCAGATGCCATTCATGGCGAATAAGCCGCACGGGAGGCGCTAGCAGCCGAGTCGAGTTCCGCCCCGGCCAACAGCTCAGCCGGTCTGAGGCCGCGCGCTTGACCGACAGGCTTGCCCACCCACATTGTCTCCATACCGGCCTTCTGGCTTTTCCGAAGGAAGTCACTGAGAGCCTAAGCGTGGGCAGCTGCCCGTAGATCGGCAAAACAGCTTACCGTCTTTACCTGGATCTTCTCAGGCAACTGCCGTCGAGTCAGCACTGGCAGCACGGCAAATCTCATGTCCGAAAAGCTCCTCGGGCAGCTCTCAGTAGATGGATGAAACAGCTCAGCGCCGTCTCCGAGGAGCTTTTGGGCGCCTGCCCGACAAGCTTGTCGGCTGCGCGTCTCACCTTGGCTAGGGGGAATTCCCCAGGCAGCTGCCAGTAGATCAGCACTCAGCTTACATAATCTCCGAGAAACTCCTCAGCAGCTGCCAGTAGGTTGGCAGAGCAGCTCACCTTGCTTCTGAAGAGCTCTTGGGGAGGGGGGGGGGGGGGGGGGAGCGGGCGGGGACGGCTGCCAGCGGATCGTTACAACGACCCCCCTCGCCTCCG